AGAAACAACGGTCATGTTAACCAGGAATTAAGAGTTACTGTCATTTAATTACTCGTTTATCTCTTACTGTTGAAGTCGGATCATGAGAAAATACCGTACTCATATTGTAAGACATTGACTTAGTTTTCACCAAATTGGCAAACAAAAGCATGCCATGAAATAGTGACTGGTTTAAACATACACACACACACATTTTAAAAGTGTTTCAAATAGTTTCTCTGATTTTAAACACACACACACACATTTTAAAAGTGTTTCAAATAGTTTCTCTGATTTTTTTTTCAAACTTGAGATTTGCGATGTCATTTATTTAAGGACCTAGATGATAAACAGCCCTTGAACTTGGTGATGGGAAACCGTCTCCCATGTTGACAAAGGTGTGGCTTCCTTTTACCTACGGATGAAAACGATTTCACTTTTGGGTGCTCTGAATCTCAGGGTGAACGCTATCCCTGGACACAGGCAGGACTCCCTCTTGGTTCTGGAGCGTTTGTTTCTCTTGTCTCTCTCAGAATTCAGTCTCTCCTTTCCATCTCTATTTTAGCTGTGCTCGTTTACATGTGTTCAATGTTATAAATCCATTCTTGGAGCTGGGTGGGGCATGCTCTATAAATAAATACTAAACTGAGGCATCCTTCCCACACTACATACCCCTGACAAATGCCATCTGCCTCCACCCAAGCCATGGACAGATTCCTGCCTTACTGGCATCCCTTCCACCCTGGGGAGACCTGTAGACTATTTGGAACTGTCTTCCCCCAGGGCTCCTGGCTCTTTCAGCTCTAGAGCTGTACCTGGGACCACCAGCCATCACATCTGGGGTCACTTAAGTGAGCGACAGACACTTTGGATATGGCATCTTGTTTACTTTCTCCCAAGCTTTCAAGACAGAAACTATTATTACTCTGTTTTGCTGATGGGTAAACTGAGGCTCCAAGGGGTTAAGTAACTTGTGTGATGTCCATACCTAATAAGTGAAAAAGAGGAATTTGAACCCCAGCATTCTGAATTCCCTAACTGTGCTGGGTTAACTTTTCTATGGGGCTGCCCTTCAGAACTGGGAAGCATCTACCTGTTCTCCACAGCATCTATACAAGGACCAAAGGCAGGGCTCAGCCTCCCACAGCTACTCCACAAGTGCCCCCCATTGGTGGATGAGCCCTCCACCCCAGGGAGGTATGTGTGGGGGGGCGTCCTTAGTTCACCTCAAGCAGCCCCTGACTCACAAGTGAGCAGGTGTTCCACTGTGGTTTCTGGGGCCCAACTTTCTGTTTTATCTTTAAAACCACACACAGCATCCATAAGTTCACATATTGCACAATTTCAAACAGCCTGTCCTTTCATTCTCAGTAAATGCCTTTTAAATTTGAATAAATCAAAAGATGGGTGGCTCAACTTTCAGTAAACATCAAAGAGCAATGCATTTTCCGTTTACTAATTTTCTCCGAAAGCTAATGATTAAAGCTCATAAATGCCAATGATGGCATTTGCCACTCAAACAACAAAAGACTGTGCTGAGCCAGAAAGTTCCCAAATGTCCAGTTGCTTAATAAACAGACCACAGCGCATTTGGAACCAAATGCCCTCAGAAGTTAGGGGTGCAGTTTCCCTGAAACGCCTGCTGGTTGGGGATGGTCTACCTGTCACCCATCTATTTATGTTGACATGTGCACACTATGTGTGCTTATCCCTTAATGACCAGACAGAAATACAAGCTGAGTAAGAAGGTAATAATAGCTAAGAGGGAAGAAGAGAGAGCAGTGGGGGCTTGTTTTCTCTAGGCCCAATGCAGGGCCTAATATTGTCCCCTCAGCAAACTCAGAACCACGGGGAGCTGGTCCCCTGGGAACCACAGCAATCTACTCAGTAACCGACCCCATGGGTGCAGCTTAGTGCCCATTTCGTTCTCCCTGTCCAAGGAGGACCTGAGTCTTCCTTAACCTTGCAGGGGGTCGGGGGAGCTAACACCTCTGAAATGGTACAGCCCAGAGGGTGCGAAGGGAGTAGGCACAGGCAGGGAGGAGCTTGTCCACCAAAGCATGCCCCTCAACTTCCACCTGCACCCAGGCCTGGCAAGCTATCCTCTGCTCAGGATCACATTTCGAAGCCCTCCTCAGAAACTGGGACTGGGACGGAAAGGGTTTAGCAGAAGGCCCTCCAGGAACCTCACGAGACTGCTGCTGGCATCAAAGGCTGCCCGCACTAATAGTGAGACATGGCATCTCCTCTCAGGCTCGACTCAGGTCTGCTTCCTGCCCTGGCACCAGGTTCCAAGGGACAACAGAACTCCCAAGAAGCCCTGTGTC